GTTACTTTCAAATACATAACCTACAGTTATGAAAACATCCTGCAATTATGAAGGATCTTGGGCTACAGCTACTGTAAATACAGTGTTTGGCATGGTAATGACAAGACATTAGACTCGTGAATTAATCTCCATTCAGACTCATTGGAAAAATGGGCCTCTACCAACATTTTTGCAAAACTCAGACAATATACCTATACACAATGTAAATTTGGCAGAAATTAATATGAGAATCCTTTTTTTTCTTTTCACGCTAATAATGATTACAGAGCAAAATATTAATTAATATAGTCTTAACTTATAACATCTGCACAGTTCCTTTCACAATACCATGTTATCACCTAATTATACTTTAGCGTATAGTACATTTTATTATTTCTATAAAGGGTTTGAAATTAACTTGTTTACTCACCTGGCAATTTGGCTACAAAATGTTTTGTTACAGATAAGTCAAGACTTCAAGTTAAAACAAAATTATCCTAAATGACTTTAATATTGAAGTCATAGCTTAGATGTTATGTTCATTATATGTTCATTTTCCTTTGGCTTAGTTTCTATTTCAGAGTTTGCTACAGCGGAATGGACCGCCAACTATTCCAGCCAACCCAGGCTCATTCTGAAAACATACCACTAAATACATTCATGAACATTGCAAAATTCGTGTCAGGAGTTTTTGTTTTGTGAACCAGAGGCCACTGCTTTTTGAGATCTCAAATTTCTCTCGCGCCTGCTGTTCTCACTTACATTCACCAGAGGCAGCTGTAGACTGACTGACTGACTCACTGAATAACCGATCAACTGACCTACGCTCCTCTTTCCCTAAACCCAACCAACAGTGTTTTCAATAGCACCGATTGACCCGCCACCTACTTCTCTAAACCCAACTCGCAGTTTTAAAAAGTAATCCAACTAAAAGAAAAGCCATCGCCTGACTTTTACTACGTTTTCAGATTTTACCACATTCTCACCCTGTCATTTACTTGTTTATGTTATTTTTTGGCTTCTGTTTTTGTCTTGCCCACTTCCTGGAACTGTTTTTTGCCAGACTTGAACCCCGTCATTGTGGTCAACTTCTCTCTGCGCCTTAACCTAGATAGTGAGCTACTGGACAAACTGGTAACAGCGGGAAAAACGTCCATACGGAGGTAAGCAGTCAGCTGGTAAGCAAAAAGGAAAGGCGTCATACCACCCCGTAGCGTTCATTATAAAGACGGAATTCTGGATACAGAATTCACAATCTCCTGAAATGTGCAGTATAAAGGGCTACGTTTTCAGAATGAGCCTATGTTGATTCCAGCATATGTTTTATTCAGTCGCAACCTACATTACGACCAATTTAGTTTATGCAATTCATTTATAGCGTATGTCTTTTTACTGTGGGGGAAACCAGAGCACGTGGAGTAAACCCACGGGAACACAGGGAGAACATGCAAACTCCACACAGAAATGACAACTGGCCTTGCCGAGGCTTGAACCAGTGACCTTCTTGCTGTAAGGCGACAGCGCAAACCACTGAGCCACCAAAAAATTGACCTGATAATAGATGAAGGCCAAAGGGACAACCCTTTTAGCCAAAGCAAGAGAAGTTTGTCAATCCAAATCAGTAATTGCTAGAACTTTGTATCATTATAATGTTACTAAAGCCCAGATCACACCTGGATTTCTGCTATGATTTGGTTGTGAGACAAACTTTGTGAATTCTAAAAGATTCTTATAATTCTAATCTTAATTTAATGAACTTTGATTATTGGTTTGACATTCACTGACAGCTGATTAGTGGCCATTGCAATCATATTTTCACACTTTGTCTTGTCGTGACTTGATTATGATGTAGCGCCAGTTGTTGGTGTCCCAGGGGAAAAGCCTTCTGCCAACACCAACAACAGTTCATCAAACTGGGCTTGGCTCAATCAGAAGCTCCGCTGAAAGCCTCCATCATCCAGGTATAGTTTCTGTAGGTGTTTATTAACTCACAGAGCTGGTGCACCTCTGAATGGATTTAGTGGACTCAGACACGGCTCCAAACGTATCGACGCTGTTTTTCAGCCTTCATAAAAGCACATAAACACAGCTAATCTCTTAATAAAATCCATGTTAGCCATTTAGCAACGAAGTTAGAATCATGGAGCAGACAGAAGCCCCGTCCATGGTGTGAATCCGTGTACGTTATGAAGTGAGTTTTATGCGCGAATGAAGCGAGAAAACTCAAAATGTTCACGCGCGAATAGCGAGATTTATCCACGAGCACTGCATCTGGTGTGAACGCAGCATTAGGCAGCTGACTTGTTGCCTAGGTGTCTTTTTTAATGAAACTTTCAGACAGATTTTTGAAACAGCATAACTATTTAACCATAAACCACAAAACGAAAAGAGTTTTGTGAAAACCAAGTGAATATATGCTTACCACAATACTAACTTCTTACTAGGAATGCCATCAAAAGGGGAAAACATTGGTCCAAAATATATATTTACACTCTGGAGATGCCTATTTTTTTAACCGAACAACAAAAGCTGTCAGAAAAGAGTGCACAGAGTTGAGGGATTCCAATAGCGGTGAACGACACATCTATGCTTTTTGTCTATGTCTTTGAAAATCGATCAGAAAAAAAGGTATTTTCAGAGGGAGGGAGTGAAGCAGGATTTGGGTTGAAACCAGCCTTGATGTATTCCTGCCTTTGGAGGCATCATTTTAAAGCTTACAAACAAAGTCTATGTTAGCTGTAAGGTATCATTTCCGAATGTGTGTTAATGAACAAGTCATGGATTGATGATGTCAAACTCCAGATGAGTCTTGCATTTGTCTCTGTTTGGTCACGGTGTGTCTTGGTTGTCGTTCAGTCTGAAATTGTTACAATTTATATCTTATTTGGGGATCATGTTTGTACAGTCTGACAAGCTACAATCTTGAAGGGTTATTCTGTATACACTACCTAACAAAAGTCTTAGCCTACGTTTCACCTTTTAGGAACTACAAATAATAACTGACTAGAAAGTTATATAACTAGAAAGTTGATCATTTGGTATCAAAAGTGGCTTGTATGAAAGCCAAAAGCCTCTAGATTACGCTTTTTTTACCAAAATAAAATTTGATCATGCCTTTAATTTAATCATTTAATTAGTACAGCAGGGTCTGACACAATAGTTCAACAGGAAAAATGTACCTACTGCCACTTTTCCAAATGATGAACTAGAAGTCAAGTTATTATTTGTTTCTCTTACAACTGGGATCGACGACAAGACTTTTGTCAGGAAGTGTAAAATCGCAGAGTGTGAGCCTGGCTTAACTCATTCAAGTCCTCCAAAAAGCTAGTTGCACACAAAGGGCAAATGCATGAGTGGATAAGGCCGTACATAAACTGAAATTTTAGGTTTGATTTGGAGCCTAATGTTGACTTATACGACTCTTTTTGATGAATCTGGATGAATTTAAGCTGTGTTGTTGTGTTGTACAGTATACAGGGGCAATGGAGAGGTGATTAAACTACAATTGGCAATCGGTTGGTCAGATTATTTTCTAACAAATAATATAATATTGTCGGTCCACGTGAGGAAATCACACAATTGAATCAGAGCTACAAACCAATTGAGTTGAACTCAGTGTTAATGCTGCACCTGCATAAAAAAATATAAACAGACACAACATTCTGCAACATAGGCCCATTCTGAAAATGTTCCCCTATACATTTCTGGAGATTGCAAATTATGTATCCAGAGGTAGGCAAGTATGGCTGCATTTCGTCTTTAAAACAAGCGCTATGGGGCGGTATGTTCAATTGGTGCTTTTTAAAACACCATCGGTTGGGTTAAAGGAAGTGGGTGGGCGGGTCAATTGTTGGTTTTTAAAACACTATCGGTTGGGTTTAGGGAAGGAGGAGGGTGGGTCAGTCGATTAGTCAGTCAGTCAGTCAGTCGACAGCAGCCTGTGGTGGATTTACGTGAGAACAGCGGGCGTTAATAGGACTTGCAAGAGAAATTTGAGATCTAAAATAGCTTATACAGCAGCCTCTGGTGGATTTGTGAAAACAAAAACTGCAAAAAAAGAAAAAAAAACCTCCTGGGACATATTTGGCGCTCCCCAGAAATGTATACAGGGTTACGTATTCAGAATGAGCTTGTGTTGCATTTCTGGGTTCACAGGGATTCGATGATGCAATTTAAAGAATAGTTTCTAGATTGCACAAAAACAATTAAAAGAGTATGATATTCTGTTCAAATATTTACGAAATACAGATCTGATTAGAAAAAAAAAAACTGTAGTGGTTTTTAATTTTTTCGTTTACACCTGAGCTTCACACTCCTTCCAACCTGCATTAAACTAAAAGAAAAACGAGGGTGTAAAGTGCCTCAAAATATTGCGTCATGAGTACAATTATAGTACCCCAGCATATAATTTCATGATAATAAAATTACAATGCCCTCACAATCAGTTTTGTCACTAAATCTATCTCAGTGAGAGCCAGTATAATAATAAAAAAACCTGATGGATCTTCTTCTATGTTATTACGTTGAAAGATGTGTCACTCCTATCAGTTTGCCTACCCTCTTTAGACTTTGCTTTGCAAATGTTTGAAGCTCCCTTTAGGGAAGGCACTGAAAGTGATTACACATAAGTGCTAGAACATCATTTACGGCCAAACTGGCTGGAGTGTAAATACGCATTACCCACCACGGTCAATATTCTCCAGCAATTGCCAGGTGTTAATTTCAAACCCTTTTTGAATCACTTACTGCATTTCTGTATGTACATAAAGATTCATTAAAGATGCAGAAGGCTTAGGTTTTGAGTTTTGTGAATCCTTCAATGCTGTTGGATAGTTGTAGTGTAAGGTTTAGTGTACTATATTTGATGCTACTTTAAGTACCACTCATTATATTTTACCAACACTCATCCATCATTTGGTTCCTGACTCGACAACTTAGAGCACATGCATAAACCAACAAAAAGTAGAAAACTCATAGCGCCACTCATTAGTCATTTCACATTGAAAATTCATACAAGAACCGATTGTTTATTTATTTATTTTGCAAAAATGTCACCAAAGGCAGATATTTTTCATGAGTCTGATTTGGAATATCTAATACAAATATAGTTTAAAGCTAAATAAATGCTAAGTTTGTATATACATAGCCCTCTATGTGTTACCTGCATGATTATACTCACCAGTTTGTGTTGTGATTGTTTCATAACTTTGCTTCAGGTGGGTAAACAAGCACAAGATTTCAGTGATTGACCGCCATCATATTAAAATTTAATTGAACAAATGACATGTCAGCTTGAACAGAGTGGTGTGTGTTATAGGCCAGAGCCTATATCTGCTGTGTTGTGTTCTGAAGTTGTGCACTTTCCACCAAATAACACGAAACATCTAAACAGATTAAAGGTGTTCTCATACTTTTTCCATCATGGTATATATTGTCTAGAAGTAATCTCCAGCCAATTCAGTCACATTATCACGCATCTTTAAAAACACATCTACTGAAAAAGTGACCTAGGGTTCATGTTTATGCTGTGAATACGGTGTCATATTCTCATATTTATTTCTGTGAATGTTTTTCTTATCAAAGAAATGTTAATATTCCAATATCTCTGCTGAAGAAATCTGCAAAAACTGAAAGAAAAAAACTGAAAGTTTGTGTTTTCATACATTATGAATCCTTTTTTAGAACACCAACTGTGTAAACCCATTTGCACTCACACATTCACAGCCTAACAAGTTCTGACATACTAATTGTGCATCCACAACATTTTCCAAGAAAAAATATCTCTACAAAACCAATGATTACTAGTGCATGCAGTCAACTGATTCTGCATTTACTCAAAATGTTTAATTGAATTTGTTCTCTCATAGACTGATCATTTTCATTTAAAATTAAAGAAGTGAAAGTTTAGAAAGAAAGAGAAAGAAAGAAAAAGAGAGAAAGGAAGAAGTAAAATTTCAGCTATATAATCTAATTTATAATTCTCAAAAGTTTGTGCTTTGCTGATTAGATGTCTTTGATGTACGGCTCCAAAGTAGTTTTGTGGCAAAATAGCATTAAGCTTTGAAGTTTCTTGACACCTCTGCAGGGTCCCTAAAGTAAAACAGGATAAATGTGAAAAGGAGTTAAACATTGGAAGCACAGACACACAAACACACTGCATCAACAAGCATCTCTTACCTTGCTAACGTGTCTAAACCTAAGGATCATTGTGTAATCCTTTTGGAAAACATGAGATCGGGTGAATTCAGCAGTTCCCAAACTCAGAGGGTTTATCAGAGGGTCATGATTAGAAAACAACTGTTATTCCTTAATAAATTCCAGTCGCTCGGTGGATCCAGTGGCACATGTTCCAAAACGCTGGCTAAAAGGGAGCATTTTTCCATGTTTATCCATTGAGTGAAGCAGAATTCCAGTAGAATTTGCTTGTTTTGGTTGCCTGATGGTTTCTGGATGCTGAATCCACGGTTTAGAGAAACCAGAGTTTCCACCGAGCGTGTTTCTTGGACTCAGTCTTGGACTTGCGCTTGGGTGTCGAGGTGAACACCTCATGTGCGTAAGGCAGAGAGGGGTACAACGGCTCTTCTAATGGACACAGTCTCTTCATTAAGGGCTGAAGTTTGTCCTCTTGAAGTTTAAAATCTAGTTCCACACTAAAAGAGAAAAGAAAAAATAATTTGAGTTAATTAACTACAAAATCGTATTAGGAACAAAATAGGGATATAAATTGGTCAAATTAAATCGACATGAATCAATTCATTGACTCCCTTTGCTTTTCAAAATTATTTTCCCTGTCATGCTGGCTCACTTTATAAGCAATATTACAAATGAGCATTTTAAAATGCTTTTAGAATTTCATCAAAATATAATAATTTTATCAAAAAGCCCCTATTACGAGTTTTTGAAAATGACCTTCCATGCAGTGTGTAACAAAGCTCTAAGTGAACTGAAATATACAGCTAAGACTTAAATTTGAAAGTGCACCGTGTTAAAAAAAAATTGATTCATCTATAAAACAGTTGACTCAGAGTGGTTCAAATAAATCGATATCGATATGGATCTCAAGCCCCACCTATTTGTTGCACGCACAGACGCAGGAAAATTAAACCCCCCGCCCCCAAACACTGTGGTAGATCCTAGTTGAATCATGTCGCGAAGATGCTGTGCTCTGAAGTGTGAGGGGAAAGTTAGTGTTATTTTCCCTACCCAAAGATGAGGCTGTGAAGAGCCAGTGGTTTTTGCAAAAAATACCTCAGCATTGCATGCCCAGCCTTGTGCTGTGGTCCCGTAACTTTTTTAAATCAATCCACACGCTTACAATAGGGGATTTGTTGACCATTTGTTAAAGGAAGGATCAGAAAAGACTATATTGATGTATGGGACTTTGTCAGAGCTTTACAGAACACAGTTCATGGATCGGTTCCTTCCTCCATTTCACAAGTGTAAGTTACTTAAGTGCGATTAAAATGGTTGCCTCTTTGTTTTCTCTAGCTTGCAAATTATATATTTAATTGTGTTTTGTTACTTGTAACTGCTCCAAACAGCTTGTACTGTATCTGGTAAACTCTATATTCTCATATCGCGTCTAAAAAAACATTGAAAACGCAACGCGCCCCATTTCGTTTACAGATTCAAATGCGTTTATGAGCTCACAATCCACTGCCATTTGCCAATACTATGGCCATCGTTAGCTGTTTCTACACACGTGCAATATACACCAGCAATATGCTGGTGGTTAACTGCATTGCTTTAATGCACTCCTGCATTGGGCTCACACATACACTCTGCACTCTGACTACTTCAAAATTGTTGATAAGCCATGGTGGGCGATTCTCTCAGTCTCATGCAATTGATCAATCGCAACATTGTGCAAAGGAGGGGGTTGGGATTAAATTAATCGCTGTACGAATCATATGAGAGTCACTGGGATAATTAGGTCAAAATAAATTCAAATTATAAGACAATGACAGTGTTTTTTAACCATGCATGCATATCAGACTGTTGTTGGAGACCTTCAAAACCAAAATATGACCTTTATTAATGCATAACAGGGGCTCTTTAATTTTTGGAATCATAATCAGTTGTTTTGATACCATTCAAATAATAAAATAATAACAAAATAGTTATATTATATTAGTTATGACAAAACAGGATCTTACAGCTCAAGATTACAACGTTCATGGCATAAAACATCAATCTATATAGAGCAGCCTGTATCTACCACATTCATGATTTCACCAACAATAACCCTATAAAAATTAATTCTAAAAGAAAGTAGTATAAAGCTGTAAATATCTACATTGCAGTCAGATTTGTTTGCGCCTGAGCAAATAACAGATAATTGAAACTAAATATAGATGTACCCAAAAGTAATTATATTTCACATTGAATTAGAGACACGCATCAGTCTCCAGAATAAGAGTCTGTCAGAAGGTTGCTCTGAGGAACTGAATGGCTGTTGATTAACCCAATGTCCTATCTTCAAAATCATCGACAAACATTTTAATACAGATGCAATCCTTATAAATAAACCACATATTTAAAAAACGAAACTTCATTATGGCCTAAAAAAGGCTCAAACTACATTAGGTGGTGCAATAGCTGTTGTTTTAAAAGACAATAGTATACACAATATCGCTGCATCATTTATCATTTAGAATCCTGCATTTTTATCACGTAAACACAGAGGAAAAAGTTCATGCATTCGAGTTTTGCCAGCCTTAGCAAATGTTTTAAGCGTAAAGCACCTCGTCCCTGACCTCTAACATCATGACTAAGCTGTTTAGCTCAGTCTCACAGTGTGTGCGTTTGACTGTCCTCGCACAGCCGTCTGAGCTAGTCCTCCCTCTAAAGTCATAATCCCATGACAATCAGATGATTCCTGATGATTGCAGAGGCTCAACTCTCAGATTAACCATCAGAGGCAGCTTTAATCTGATCTAAATGAAATCATTCACAAAGCAGCGTCTGACTCATCAGTGTAAAGAACAAACATAGGCACACCAATCACACACTGGCTATCAGTACAGCTCCCTCTCAACTGAGCCCATTCCTTTTTTTCACTTCCCTGCCCTACAAATGAGCACATTGGAAATCAATGTTGTTTGACACATCAATTACATCCATTTATAAAAGATTTGCGCAAAAACAGAGAGCTCTCCAACCAAATTGCAGGACAGAAGTCAATTCTGTTTATCTACATGCTTATACTGTTTGGTTTTCACTAAAGAGTGCTTTATATTCGACAGTCAAGCTGTCATTTTATCCTTTATCTGCACTCAATGAAAAACATTTTGATCAATGTCCTTGTTTAAATTGTACTCCTGACACCACTCTAAACCAATGTAGAGTTTTCTGATTTTAATGATTACCTGCAAACAAAAGCTCCAGCACCAGACAGTTACATGCCTGTTAATCTATTAAAAGAATAGCTCACACAAAAATGAAAATGTTGCTAGTAAAATACTCATCGTCAAAGTGAATATATGTGATTTAGGCTAAATTTTCTAATTATGGATATGTAGCTCTGTTTACAGTTCTAAAGAGTGCAAAATACATCCCAGGAGGTATGTTTTTTTATGAATCCACCAGAGGCCACTGTGTGCACTTATTCAGACATAAAATTTCTCTTTGCTCTTCTTGTGTAAATCCACTAGAGGCTGCTGTCAACGGACTTACTGAATGACTGATCCCCCGACCCAACCTCTTCCCTAAACTCAACCAAAAGGGTTTTCAAAAGCACCAATTGACCCGCTCATCACCTTCCCTAAACCCAACCAACAGCATTTTCAAAAGCAATCCAGAAAAAGAAAAGCCCTCATGTTATCTTACCACATTCTCACCCTGTTATTTAATTGTTTATTTTATTTTTGCCTTTTGTTTTATCTGCTTTCTGGAACCATTATTTGCCCCGTTATTGCAGTCAACTCCTCGCTGCGTTTCAAGTCTACCGACGTACGCAGCAAACCACTGGGGAAACTGGTAACAGTTGAAAAACTGTCCAGCTGGTAGCGCAAAAATGAATAGAAGCAATGCAGAAACCACCTTAAATCATTTGTTTAAAAGACGAGATGCACCCAGGTGTACATCTTGCTATATAATTTGTGCTCTCCAGAAATGTAGACAGGGGGCGTATTCACAATGAGTCTGTGTTGTTTTTGTTAGTAGCTAAAACTGTGGTCCTTGATTCATATAATTAAGCCAATGGCAAAAGGCACTTTAAGGCCCAACCCCAAATTATACCCTTCAGTAAATGATTAAAACAACATTAATTTTGTTATCCATAATCCATAATGATAACTCTTGTATAGACCCACAACATAATATCACATCAGATAACGCAATGACAATCAAATACTCTGTCAGAAAAGTCTAGTGGCTGGGAATGAGCTTTTTACAGTGTCTTGTATAATGTTGTTTTCATGTGTTTTGATGAATATGGCCAAGGTGTAAATACACAGTTGTGAGCTTGCTGCAACATTATATCATTATGATAACATGACATCACTGCTTTCAATGATTTCTTGAAAATAAATACCAAAAATAATTCTACTGGAGTAACTACAGCAGTCGCGATAATGGATCTTATATGAAGTAATAGATCACTATGATATATGGTGACGTGTGCAGGTGTTGTAGTGCTGTCCCATTTCTTATAGGGGTAAAATTTTAAGCCCTTCCCCTTCACACTCTGTTTCAAGGGCCAATGGGAAGGGGTAAAATAATAGAATTGGGATTGGGCCTGTGTCAGCAAGTGTCAACAAAACACTTGGAGACAAACAAGACTAATACATATGACTCCTAACGATACATCTGTGCAAGAATCTGAACATTGTTTACAATAAAAGTTTGGTATCAGTAGTTCTTTTTTTTATGATAACAATGCCAAATCGAGACTTTTAAAATGGCATGGCAACTTAGCTGGTGTCTGAACTGACACTTTAAACAGCCACAAAATTACAATGCATAAAAACATGCATGTAAAAACAACTTTTTTTACAGTAAAAAAATTTATAATTTATTAAAAAAAAAACAGCAACAAACGTACATAACAGATTCACAATCAAATTAAAGATCCCAAACCCACTACAATAATGTAACAATAAATAACAGTTAGATTGCTAATAACAGCAATGTCGTTGGTTACGTATGACCACTATCAGTATTGTTTGCCAAGACTGTGGATTAAGGATAATAATATCATAAAGCATGTCCAGATTTTTGCACAGTGTGTTTGTTTCGCTTCTTAAGGCTGCCATGTATCATCAAATGGCATAGATATTTAAAGTGCCAATACTTGACTTTTATTTTATGAATAACCAAAGACCACATTTCCAGCTAGTAACATCTTTAATGTACATGTAACAACAAATTAAAATCTAGAAGTTAACTATCCCAAAAAAATTAAAGATTTTACATTTTGTTTCATTAACAACTGTTACAGCAGAACACAGACATTAATCGTTCAGTTCATAACAGCCTTTGAAAATCCAATACAGCTTTATCACATATCCGCACAAACAAACCCTAAACCAAAGACTTCTCCCACTACATGCATATCAAACTCAACAAAAACCAGACTAGGACCCGTGGAGACAAAGTGATCTGCATCTCATTTTCAAGTCTGGCCTGGATTTTCACAAATGATCAGAAA